CGCGTGCAGGTGCTTGTCCTTGCCGATCTGTACACGTGCGCCTTTCTCTGCAGGCGGCCTCCTTTTCCTGGCTTGTGATGAGGTTTCCAATTCTTGTTCCTGACTTCAGAAAGAAGATTAGAGAGACGCCGGTAGGTCTTTATGTTCTGAGGGTTATTGCTTGGGTGGGGGTGCAGGCTTTGGGGCCAGATTCTCCTGGCTCGCACCAGAAGGTTGATTTGCCCCATGTGGCACCCAGAGTTGCCCAGGCTGAGCGGAGTTGCTTCTGCTGATGACCCGGAGAAAGAAGACGTGGTGTGGGTTTGCCCAGAGCAGCTCACCGATGGCCTGAGCTGTGGCAGCCTCCAGTGCCAGGAGGAAGTAGCCATGTGGGCCCCTCGCTTACTGCCTCTGGACCTACTGCATTTGAAGGAGGAGGGCAGGCGGTGAAGACAAGACAATGTGGGAGGGTGGCCTTGGTGTGTTGCATCGCCCAACTAGAATGTTCCCAGATGATACTCCGAGGAGGCTTTGGGAAAGGGGCCAGCTTTCTGGCTGAAATAACAGGAGGGTTTGACGCTAGTAATGTGCTGCTTTGCTCATTGTGCCATCTGCTGGCCAGCTCTTCCAACTTCACCTTTTTTTTGAAGTATAGTTGATTTGCAATGTGTTAGTTTCTGGTGTACAGCAACTATTCTTTTTCAGAATCTTTTCCATTGTGGTTTATTACAAGATAATGAATATAGTTCCCTGTGCTATACGGTAGGACTTCGTTTATATATTTTATACATAGTAGTGTGTATCTGTTAATCCCAAGCTCCTAATTTATCCCTCCCCAAGCTTTTCCCCTTTGGTAACTGTAAGTTTGTTCTCTATGTCTGTGAGTCTGTTTCTGTTTTGTAAATAATTTCATTTGTATCATCTTTTAAGTGATATCTTAGAATATTTGTCTTTCTCTGTCTGACTTACTTCACTTAGTATGAGAATCTCTAGGTCCATCCATGTTGCTGCAAATGGTATTATTTCATTATTTTCTCATGGCTGAGTAGTATTCCATTGTGTATATGTACTACATCTTCTTTATCCATCCATCTGTCGATGGACATTTAGGTTGCTTCCATATCTTGGCTATTGTAAATAGTGCTGCAATGAACATTGGGGTGCATGTATCTTTTCAAAATAGAGTTTTTGTCTTTTACAGATATATACTCAGGAGTGGGATTGCTGGATCATATGGTAGTTCTATTTTTAGTTTTTTGAGGACCCTCCATACTGTCCTCCATAGCGGCTGCAGCAATTTACATTCCTACTAACAGTGCAAGAGGGTTCCCTTTTCTCCACACCCTCTCCAGCGTTTATTGTTTGTAGATTTTTTCATGATGGCCATTCTGACCTTTGTGAGGTGATACCTCATTGTAGTTTTGATTTGCATTTCTCTAATAATTAGCAACATTGAGCATCTTTTCATGTGCCTGTTGGCCATCTGTATGTCTCCTTTGGAGAAATGTCTATTCAGGTCTTCTGGCCATTTTTTGATTGGGTTGTTTGTTTTTTTTGCAACTTCAGTTTTAATTAAAGATGGTCGGTAATAAGAGCTTCCATGGCAGAAAGCTCTATGCAGTGCTTGGGGGGTATGAATGTAAAAACGAGGTGCTGAAACTAATATGTCAGTACGTTGTAAAGTATTTCTTCTCCTATTCCCCCTCTGACCATTTCTGCCTTCTTGATCTTTCTACCTTTCCCAAGGCATAGAGATGTCAGATACATCACAATGTATATTAAAACAGATTCTTAATGCTTGTTACCATGAAGATATAGCAACTGAGTTTGCATTTTCCGTATGTAGGGCTTATGCTGGGAGCCCAGGCATTGGCAAGGGAGCCCATTGTTTGTATCCTCTGGGTCCGTGAGGATGGATTGCCCTTTTTTTGAGTGGATGTGTGTCCATGTAGCTCATAGGCTGGGCCAGTGCATGGGGCACACAGAGGGGCTGCCAGTGTGTGCTCACAATGTGAATGATGCAATCCAGAGCCTGGGCTTTGGGGCCCGGGGACCTGCGTTGGGGTGTCAGCTCTTCTTTTCCTGTGTAGCCTTGGCACTTACTATCTCTGTGCGTCTCTCTCCTCTCCTGAAAACCAGGTGGCGCAAAATGCCACTAATGTCACAGGGCTTTTCCAGGGCACAGCCTTGGACGTCATGTCCTCTTCCACTGGGGCTTGGGGTCTGTCTTTGCTTCTACTTTTGCAGGTTAGAGGTTATTCCGGCAACAATGACTATGAAGATTTTGCTTGATTCCCAGGCTTGGTAAATTTCAGAGTTCTCTAACGGTGTTCAAGGGACTATGATGTGTCTTGGTAAAATTCCCTTATGCTCTTTGGAAGATCTCAGTTGTGCCATGTAGAAAATGAGATGATTGGTCTAGAATAGGGATTCTCCAACCTTTGTGCCCATGGAATATCTTAGTCTGGCTGGGGGTTCAACCTCCCAAAGAGATCAGAGGCAGGCTGCTCAGCCGAAGTAAGGCCTGCTCCCCACACCCCTTCTTCTTCCCAATCTCTTCCTGGCCCACTCCTCTTAAAGGCCCATGAAGCATTCCACAGAACCGAGTTTGAAACCCAGTGATCTAGATCTCAAACTTCAGTGTGCTTTCAAATCCCTCGGTGATCTTGTCAAATGTGGCTTCTGATTCAGAAGTTCTGGCGTGGACCTGAGATTCTGCACTTCTCAGCAGATCCCAGCTGATGCCTAAGTTGTTGGTCCATGGATATCATTTTGAAAAGCAAGGCTCTGATCACAGAATGCCTTTGATGTTTCACATCCTTTGATTCTGAGTTCTTTACTTACTGATACTCTGATTATATTACAAATTGAAAATTTGTGTAGAATGAGTGGTTTCCGTTGAGGGCAAAATTCTCAATTATACAGATGTGGAAACTGACCTGGGATGGAGGAGGAGAAGGATGAAGCAGACAGAATGTATTTGTTTCCCAACTTTGAGTGCCGGCAGCCTCTGTAAAATATTTTGTAAAGAGCACCGTGTGGGTTAAGAAGCCGTCGCACTTTGTTGAGAAGAGTTGCACTTTGGTTTGGTTGCAGTCTAGATCATAAGGAAGTCTCATTCTGAGAGTTAATGGACACTTGTCTAAGGGAACTTCTGGCAGAAACAAATGACCTGCTTTCAGACCCTGGCCGAGGCCTGTCTCCACGCTCCAGGTCTAAGTGAAGGTTTAGAACTGTGGACAGCTGTCGGTGTGTCTGGCATCCATGTGCTTTCTTGGTAATCTTAATGACGTGGCACGTAGAAAGAAGCCTTCGTGTAAACGGTCTCCATCCCTTCTATCCAGTGCTGTGTTGAGTGCCCCAGGTTCAGTGTTGGTAGAGTGCTCTGTCTTCTGCACTCCTTGCTGGGGCTCCTCCTGTGTGTGTCCAGTAGACCAGCTGCTTTACCAGACTATAGAGCTTTGCTTGTCAGCCTTTGTTTCAATTCAGTAATGTCATGGCTAAGGTGGGGAACCCACTTTAGCAAGGAGACGAAAGCTCAACTGCTAGAGTAGCCAGTGCGTTTAAATGTCACATGTCCTATGTGGAATATGGCAGAAGACCAGAATGTTCTTTGTGGCTTTGCCCAAGCCCTTCATTAAGAAGGATGAAAGCTTTCCCATGGGGGCAGAGGTGGCACGTGCACCGTCTGAGGAAGCGAGGGGAGACTGAACGCCAGGGAGGCTGGATCCCAACACAGAGGTGTTCTTTTTGTGCTCAGTTGGTGAGGTGAACAGTCTAGTAGATGTGTGTTCCAAGGGCTTGTCAAGGATCTTCTTTAGCATCAGGCGGGTGGGAAACAAAGAGGGAGTGTGCCCAACTTCCCCTCCTCCAGAAGCTGACCGTGTGGTGACTCGTCCATCAATAGCTCTGTCAGTGGCCATCGGATACCCTCATTCCTTCCTTCCTTCCTTCCTTGCTCCCCTCACTCTCTGGTGTGTGAGCACCTCCTTGGCGCCAGGCATTGGGTCTACAGAGATGGAGAAGACAGGGAACTTGCTGACAAGCCACAGACAGACAGGTGGAAAGCAGAAGGGGCCTTAAGAAAGGTGCATCTCATAGGTTCTGGAATCTCCGAGGAGGGAGGCATAACTTGTGGCCGGGCATGGTGAGGCTGGGGCTGTGGACTCTTCCCCAGAATATTCAGTTCACCATGGTTACCTCTGGAGGGTCTGTGCCTGAGCCTTCCTCGGACACCTTTTACAAAGCACAAGAACGTCTTTTCCCCGTCACCCCTCTCCCACTCAGTTTCCCACCCCTACCCCCGTTACAAAAGTAGCAGTGAGGAGTAGAGGAGCCGCAGATAGAATCCTCAAGGAGAAGAAGTTTCTGGAAGAACATCCTGTTCTTCTGGTGTTTCCTGAGCTCTTTTAAAGCTGGGGCCTTTGCTCACGTGACACAAGCAGATTTCTAATCCCTCTCCGGCCCCCTGTCACCCCAGCCTCCCCTGTAGCATAACCAGGCTTCCTAAAACACAGCTTTGCCCGGGGCAACCCCTGGCTCCCAGAGCTTGGCTTTCAAATGCCTGCACCTATCTGGCCTCAGCTTGCCATCTGTCAGATGAGGACAATAAAAATAGTCCTCAACTCGTGGGGTGACGATGAGCCCTCAGTGGGCCCGGGCTCAGCCATTGCTCTGTACACTTCACGAGGCTGTGACCCTAACGTGGCCTTCCTCATGGCGGCCCTCTCCTGCATCCTTGGTAGTGGCCGCACTGTCCACTCCCGCAGCCTGACTCTCCCGGTCCCCAGTCTTCCACGCTGCTCACTCACGGCAGGTGCCCTCCCTCCTCACTTTCTGTGTCCTCCTGAAGCCTCTGAGGCTGGCTTCAGGACCGTTCCTTCTCTACAACCTTCCAGAACCCTGTCTGTTGTACTCTTTTTGTTCAAGGTTACCTTGGGCGGTTTCTGTTTTATGTGTGTGTGTGTGTGTGTGTGTGTGTGTGTGTGTGTGTGTGTGTGTGCGCCCTGTTACCCCAGCTGGACTGCAATCCCTCTGAGGATAATGATCCCACCCAGGTCACCTTGGTACCGTCCCCAGAGCCTGCCCCTGCCCGAGGAGACACTGACTAGATGCTGACAGATGGTGGCGATGAACAGTTCTGTTCGTCGCC